CACGGGACGCTTCGAATCCCTTCGAATTAATAAGAATTTAGTATTGGCGTACTCCTTGGATAGTTTGTCAAAATTATTTTACTTTGTATCGTTACAAAGCATTTGGTATAGTTGGTAGAAAGCATGTTTTCTGTAATTTTCTCTTGCTTTGAGTGTTAACCTCTCGAGGGCATGAATTTTCAATGGATTAACTGTGTTTCTGTAATCGAATGCATACAAATCGAAGCAATTATATGCACTTTAATGCTGTAATTAAAAATAATTATGACATAGAAACATGTATCTATACCCTTCGAGAGGTTAACGGTCCAAACGGAGCTTGAACGTTTCGAAAAGCGTGTTCAAGGTCGAGTGACATTCGAATCTGATACGAGTATGCTGCTCGAACAAAGAAAAATATGTACTCGTCGCTACTTGTAATTCACGCGAGCAAACCCCGTTTCGACGTCGATGTTTTTTTTTTTTTTTTTTTTTACCATTGAACGGTAACCGTCTCTTAGCTATCCTCACACTCCTTCGTCTCCTAATCTTTTAGGGATCCCGATTTTGTTTCCTAAACAAGTAAGTGCTTCCTTATTGGCTCTAAGTTGAAAGAAAACGCTCTATTTTTTGTACAGTTCAAGGAACGTTGTTTCAGCAGTAACGCGCGTAATGTTTTTATACGAGAATAGTAATCGGCGTACCTTCTCCTCTCCCCCTCTCCCCTCTCCCCCTGCCGCCATCTCCTCTCCCTTCTTCCTTCTTCGTTCTTCCTTCTTCCGACTTGAGTTCGTTTCGAATGTCGATTCTAACGCACGTTTCGTAGAGTATGGTGCGACCAATCGATCGCGACGTGTTTCATCGGTTTCCTCGTACGTAGGCAAGTGTCCGGGCGTATCCAATTCCAAAAACAGACCCAACTGTGATAAGACGAACCTAACGCGATGAACCAATGAAAGTGAACGCAGTTTACTTTTCGTATGGCGAGCTAGTTGTGCTTAAAAAATCGACGAACAAAAGGTATAGCTGATCTTTGGTGAAGCGTATACTCGGAAGGACACCGTGTTACCGTTTAATCGCTTCGTTCCTGCGTCTATACGTATTTGTCTATAAGTTTAAAGTTTTCATCCAGACAGAGGACTTTGGAGATTTTCGACGTTTCCGTTGAAACGGTTCTCGCGGAATAATATTTTTTTTCGACGCGAGATCGATCGATACGGAACCCAGACAGACGCGAGACCGGCTCGAGAGCTACACACGAAAACACGAAAACCACCGTTTTATATTTGAACGCGTTTGAATGTCGCGGACGATCCGCGAAATATAGAGATATTACGAAAGAAAGAAGATGATAATGCAAATATCCAAATATGCTGTCTCACTTTCTATGGTATATGTTTTAATTGTAAAAAGTATCGCGATCCTAAGTAATAATGTACACACGTGTCTATATCGTTGGAGAGGATAGGTAAAATTTTGGTCATTTCGAGTTTGTATCCAAAGGAAGAATTTTACCCGTTACATATCGCTACCACCCTATCTCGTACCTCCTACTTTCTCCATCACCTATTAATTATAGGAAGAAAGCTATAGTTGTCCGATCGAAGCAGAATGTTGAGTCGGAATCTCGTGAAATATCGAAATGTGAAAAATAGCTGAGAAGCAATGTTTCCTCGTACCGAATAATCGATCGATCCTGCGCAAAGATTGTACGTCAGCGCAGCGATTCGCGAGCATAATCGGCTGATATGTAACACTTGACGCTCGTGTCGTTATTCGTGACATCGTTCCACGATCAATCACGTCGATTATTCCTTCCGAGATAAAGCGTCGCGATATCTTCCACGAAGTTGTAACCCGATGATCCAAGAGAGCGCAACGTTTTCATCTTTGTTTCCGTTAATGCCGTAAATACAATTTTAAAGGGATCCCGATAGATGACAGCGCAGGCATCGGTCGATGGAATTATCGATATTATCGTGTGAGAGAAAAAGCCAGTTGTTAATTTATTTACGAGAGAGAGAGAGAGAGAGAGAGAGAGAGAGAGAGAGAGAGAGAGAG